TAGTAGTAGCACCAGCACAGCAGCAATGGTAGTGGTAGTGGTAGTGGTAGTGGTAGTTGGTAGGGTGGGGTGGTGTGGTGGTGGTTGGTGGTGGTGGTGGTGGTTGGGGGTGGTGTAGGAGTAGTAGTAGTAGAGTAGTAGTAGTATTAGTAGTGAAGTAGTAGTAGTAGTAGTAGTAGTAGTATCGTAGTAGTAGAAGTAGTAGTAGTTAGTAGTTAGTAGTAGAAGTAGTAGTAGTAGTATAGTGTAGTAGTAGTAAGTAGTAGAGTGGTAGTAGTCGTAGTAGTAGTAGTTAGTAGTAGGTAGTAGTAGTAGTAGTAATGGCAGTAGCAGTCGTAGTAGTAGTAGTAGTAGTAGTAGTAGTAGTAATAGTAGTAGTAGTAGTTAGTAGTCGTAGTCGTAGAAGTAGTGTCGTAGTAGTAGTAGTAGTAGTAGTAGTAGTAGTAGTAGTAGTAGTAGAATAGTAGCAGTAGTAAAAGTAGTAGAAGTCGTCGTCGTGTAGTAGTAGTAGTAGTAGTAGTAGTAATAGTAGGAGCAGTCGTAGTAGTAGTAGTAGTAGTAGTAGTAGTAGTAGTAGTAGCTGTAGTCGTAATAGTAGTAGTAATATTGTGTATAATAGTAGCTATAGTAGTAGTAGTAGTAGTAGTAGTAGTATGAGTAGTAGTAGTGGTAGTAGAAGTAGTAGTAGTAGTAGTAGTAGTAGTCGTGGTAGTAGTAGGAGTAGTAGTAGTAGTAGTAGTAGTAGTAGTAGTCGTAGTAAGTTACTAGTAGTAGTCGTAGTAAGGTAGTATTAGTAGTATTAGTATTAGTAGTAGTAGTAGTAGGTAGTAGTTGTAGTATAGTAGTAGTAGTGGTAGTAAGTAGTCGTAGTAGTCGTCGTCGTCGCAGAAGTAGCAGTAGTGGTAGGAGTAGTAGTAGTAGTAGTAGTAGTAGTATAGGAGTTAGTAGTAGTAAGTCGTAGTAAGTAGTAGTAGTAGTAGTGAGTAGTAGTAGTAGTAGTAGAGTAGTATAGAGTAGTAGTCGAAGTAGTTAGCCGTAGAAGTAGTACTAGTCGTCGTGGTAGTGTAGTAGTAGTTATTAGTAGTAGTAGTCGTAATACTAGTAGTATTATTATTAGTAGTAGTAGTAGTAGTAGTAGTAGTAGTAGTAGCCGTCGTAGTAGCAGTAGTGGTAGGAGTAGTAGTAGTAGTAGTAGTCGCAGTAGTAGTGGTAGTAGTAATAATACTAGTAGTAGTAGTAGTAGTAGTAGTAGTAGTAAAAGTAGTCGTAGTAGTAAGAGTAGTAAGAGTAGTAATCGTAGTCGTAGTAGTTGCAGTAGTTTGAGTAGGCAAGTGGCGTGGGTGCCATTATGGTGGCGGTACTGCTGACATATTGATTGAGACACTCTTCCTTCACCTGCTCATCGGTAAACGCCTGTAACCACCCCGTTAGCACACACATCCCCAGACACCCGCCCTCCTCATCAAGCACATCTACGTACTCCATCACATACATCCTGTCGAAATTGGAGTGCCCACGGATTCGCATGTTCTCTGGTCTCCCTGAGTCAGCGTCGGTTCGTCCTCAAACGAGAAGTTACCGAACATGGAAGCGACAATCTGGCCATTCCTCCACCGGAGGGCGATCATGGTCTGACATCTCCGTAGGCGCCGCACCCGCATCTCAAAGCTCACGGGTGCCATTCGCCAGTGCTCCAGTACTTGTGCTGTGCTTAGTGCGCGGTGTTGCTGTGCAGTTTCTGTTTCTCGTAATTCGCGGGCTGATCCTCTCATCGCTCTCCTAGCGTAGTGTGCCACAAAATGATCAAATTCATTATACTGCTGCTTGGAGCAGATGTAGGCTTCATTAGAGTGCAGTGCGATGTTTTGTACACAGCATATATGAAGTGCGCGCTTCACCCTCCACCGGGTGCGCTTGAAAGGCAAAAAAAAGCTCATAATGAGTAATAAGTCGTCGCCACCGCTTTCTTGCGGTATGTATACTCTACTGCGTAGCTACAATTAGCTCCTATTCGTCCTCCAAAATATGTAGCGTGGGTACAGTGCGGAGCGGGGAGGGTGACCCTGTGCATTCTGAGATCACGCGCGCAGGTCCCCGACCTAGGCCCCGAAAGCACAGGAATGAATAGTTGCTTGCTCATAGTCTGCTTACATACGATTTCGGCCAGGGCTTGATCCAGGAGGGCGTTGGTTCGCTCGCTCATCTGAACAAGGTCCTGAATCCAGTGGTGTGGCACCCCTAGAAGAAACTTCAAACTATCATCAGCATACAGGCTGAGTGACACATCAACGGCCCTATCCAGGAAAGGGTGCTGAGTAAACAATTCCCCCGACGCCAACCCCTCCAACTCGAGACGCTTTACCCAATCCTGGATAACGGTCTGGAAGCTCTGAACAAACTGCCGCACAATGTATGGGTCCCCCATCCTGCCTCCGCATCCTTGTTTAAAAACGAGGGCCCTCTTCGCACTGCAGTCACCGCCGCTTCCTCGAAAAGCTGACCGCCTAGACGTGCCATGCCGTCCTCCATCAGCTCCACCGCAGCGGCCCGCATGTCTGCCCACTTCACGCTCGCAAAAGCATTCGTGAGATCATGTAGGTGCACCAATCCTAGGCGGCCCGCTCTGCGGATTCGCCTCATTACTATTCACGAGTTGGCTATGGCACTCTCCTTGCAACGGTTTGGAAGAAAACAGGCACCGAGGAGGAGGAGGAGGAGGAGGAGGAGGAGCAGCAGGGAGGAGGAGGAGGAGGAGGAGGAGGAGCGAGGAGGAGGGAGAAGGAGCAGGAGGAGGAGGAGGAGGGACTATGCCAATGTTGATGGTTTGACAGGCGCATGCCCCGCGTTGTGCGCTGGCCTGGAGCCTGGGAGACTGTGGCCCGGCCGAGTTCGTCGGCACAGCGGCTCGCGACTCGCAGGCTCTCTGGCGCTGCCGTCGCTCGCGGGGAACTGCCGCAGGGCCGCCGTGCCGCGAAGACGAGCGCGACAACGCCCGAGAGCGTACCCCCTCCTTTCAATCTTCCCTCCTCCTCCTTCTCCTCCTCCTCCTCCTCCCTGATCCCCCCTCCTCCTCTCCTTCTCCTCCTCCTTCCTCCTCCCTTCAAGTCCCTCCTCCTCCCTCCTCCTCCTCGTCCTCCTCCTCGTCTCCTCCTCTCCCTCCTCCCTCCTCCTCCTCCTCCTCCTCCCTCCTCCCTCCTCCCTCGACCTCCTCCCCCCGCCCCCTCCCTCCTCCTCCTCCTCCTCCTCCTCCTCCTCCTCCTGCCTCCTCCTGCTTTTCCTCATGCTTTTCCTTCTCCTCCTCCGCCCTCCTCTCCTCCTCCTCCTCCCTCCTCCTCCTCCTCCTCTCCTCCGCCTCCCTCCGCTCCTGCTCCTGCTCCTCCTCCTCCTCTCCTCCTCCTCCTCATCGTTCTCCTCCTCCTCCTCCTCCTCCTCCTCCTCCTCCTCCTCCTCCTCCTCCCTCTCATCCTTCCTCACTTGTCCTCCTCGACCCCTCTCGGCGCCATCCCCTGCCCGGCCACCGGCGCAGCGTCCGGGGGCGTGTCGGAGGGCACCTCGGCCCTGCAGGTGGGGCAAACCTGCTGCATCACGAACCTGTGGGCAGGATCGCGCGCGCCAGCAGGAAGCCCCCCCTTCTCCGCCGTGCCCGTGCAGACCCAGATCTCCGACATGGGTCCGCTGCGGGGCACCCCAGGGCAATCAAATCCCCGGACAGTGCACTGAGAGCTAAAGAGGGAGTCAGATGAGAAGCCAGCAGCGCAGGGTGGACCTCGAGACCGTTCTGGCTTCCGGCAGGAATCCCCGCTGCGCCTCCTGCGAGCTTGCAGCTCGTCCCGGAAGGCCTGTTCTAGTTGTCTCCCAATACGTGCGCCGTCAAGCTTTCCAGCAGCTCCGTCGGAAGCTTCTTCCAAGAGCTTCCAAAGCTCCTCCAAGCGTCTTTCGGAAGCCTGCTCTGGCGCTCCGCTACCCGGGTTTTGGACTCGAGAAGTGGGTCTGGGGCGATAAGCTAACCGGAGAAAAGGGGTCGGGAGGGCTGGGGCCGAGGACTGAACACATCAAATCGGAGGAGGTGCAGGAGCCCTTCTACTACACCCTCTTCGTCATCACTCATGCTTTCCTGCTGGTCGTCTACATTCCTCCTTCTCCTCCTCTTTTGTGTTTCCCGGGCGTGAATCGGACGATCGTAGCGTCCCCTCCTCCTCCTTCCCTCCTCTTCCTGCTCCTTCTCCTCCTTCTCCTCATGTTCCTCTTCCGCATCCTCCTCCTGTTTCTGCTCCTCCTGTTCCTCCTCCTCCTCCTCCTCTTCCTCTTCCTCTTCATCATTCGGGGCGAGGTTGCGATTGGGAGGACCCGAGGCGGAAGCTGTCGTAGACAAGTGAGTTGCACTACTCGCACAGTAACAACCGCCAAGTGGTCCAGATCCGCCGAGGGCGATTTGCGATACATTACGTCGAGACAGGCGTTTGTTTTTAGTGCCTTTTGCGAGTAGGCACTCTGCGAGTGGTGGAATGCGCACGGTGATGTCGTGTGGCGGCGCCGCGAGTTCAATGTGAAAGCAGACCACCTAGCGAATTTCACCATGGACGAAAACGTTCTTGGCAACAACCCTTTTCCTCTGGCTACAGGCCATCGGCTTCGAGACGCGAATATACTTTGTCGTCCACTGCGACGGCGGCCGCCAGGGCACAATGCGTGCTCCGCAGCTGCTTGGACCTTCGAGGCTGTCTGGGGGGACGCTTCCCAAATTGTCTCTGCGGCCGGTGTTTTTTTGGATGAGGGCGACGCCGTGTCCTCCTTTGTCGCTGAGGCCATGGCTCTAGGCAAGGGTTCAGAATATCTCACAGCTTGGCACAACCCCTTAGCACAAGATGACAACTTGAAGGCTCTGTAACCATCGATTGTCACATCTGGCTTGCCGCGCAAGGCCTTCAGCTTCGCCCAAGGAAAGGAAAGGAAGTTCCCTCTGGAGGCCTCCTCTGGAACCCTCTGGGAGGCCAGCAGGGTCAAACGCATACAAAACAAAGTGGAACCTTGAGGACGACGACAAAGACTACGACAACGACGACAACGAAGACAAAGACGACGACGACGACAGAGACGACGACGACAAAGACGACGACGACGATGTCGACGACGACGACGAGGGGGAGCCATGAGCGCAGACAGTCTATGTGGAAGCAGTGCTTGCAAGGCAACTTCTTGGCGTCGGACCCCTCGAACAGCGAGTCGCGGCAGATGACGCAGTACTCGTCCTGCTCGATCTCCTCGTCGGTGGCGTCGGGGAAGCGGGCCTCCATGTTGTTCGAGATGCGGCGGTATCGTCGAAACGACTGCAGCCTTCGGGTGAGGTCTGATTTCGGCAGTTGGGGGGCACCGCCCTCGTCGCCACGGCCAGATCTATCTCGGGATTCTGGCCCCAGCGCGCCGCCCCGAGCGCGCACCAGGACAGGTCCAGGGGGGCGACCTCTGAGAGAGAAGGACTAGAAGGGACGATGTTGCTGATGGTGATGAGGATGAGGATGATGCTGATGCTGATGCAGATGCTGATGATGCTGACGATACTGCCGACGACGAGGACGATGGTGATGATGCGATGATGACGATGACGCTGATGATGATTATGTCGATGATGGTAGTCATGATCGATACAGTGATGATGATAATGATGCTGGTGATGATGCGTTAGTTGATAATGGTGAGGATGATTACGATGGTGATGATGATGATCATGATGATGACAACGAACGAAAACGGTGGTAATGATGACGGCGATGCTGATGATAATGATGAGGATGCTGATGATGACGATGATGGTGATGATGATTGTGATGATGAATATGATGATGAGGAGGATGCTGACGGTATTGATGATGATAATGATGATGATGATGACGACGACGACGACGACCACGACGACAGTGGTGGTGATGATGATGGTGATGTTGATGATGAGATGATCACGGTGTGCGCGGAGGCCAAAGGCAGGCATGGTAAGAGGGAGGAGGGGGAAGAGGCAAGAGAAAGAAACGAGGGGCGTTGCCTCTTCAAAACGAGGGCCAAACAACACCGGATGGTGAGGAACAGGGCATTGTTTGTCTGGGATCGGAGGCTTTTCGATCACCTGATGGTTCCAGATTGGGCGATTCTGGGCCCCGGGCGGCGTTCAACCTGGAACGCTTGCGGCGGGTTCGCCGCCGCGTCGACACGACGCGAACCTGCCGTACCCATAGAAGCCAGCCAGGCAACAAAGCTGGCTGAGGATGGGCCGAGGAGGCAGGGATGCGGGGGGACATCCTTGATGCACTACCTCGACCCTCACCGTAGTTGGGCAAAAGACTGCACACCTGTGCCTTCCGACCGCTGGCCCCGGAGCCTGTGGGACAGCTTCCGCGCCACCTGGACCACGTCGGCGATCATGTAGATGGGGAGCCTGGCCGGGTTCTGGAAGAAGAACGTGAGCATGAACACCAGGAATATCGTCATGGCCGTCACGTCGTGCACGAGGTCGACGTAGAAGAGGCAGACCGACTTGCCCGGCCAGCCTGCGGACCCCGGCGGTGGCGGGGAGGAGCAGAGAGGAGCGAGAAAGCTCGGGGTAGAGGAGGCGAAGCTGGAGGGCGAGAAGCAGGTCCGAGGATCGAGGTGCTGCGATGTTGGCTCCGTTAGGGCTTCCGGGAGGCCTGAAAACCTCTCGGGAGCACTTAAGACCTCCAGAGATCTCCGCCTCCAGAGATTTCCAAAGATCTCAGGGGAATCTACGATCGATGGTCTGGTTGAAGTGCTTTGTTTTTCGAGTCTCGAGGGGCATTCAGGAATAAAGAGGGAAACAAGACAATAAACATCATAATCCACTTTAGTGTCTCGAGCTGAAGGCATAGCCACCGTGCAAACTATGGAGGTGTTGGATCGTGAAGGGAAGTGCAGTAGGAGGAGAAAGACACGACGGATGCTCACAGCCGTTATCGAGGCAGACGTCGATCATGTGCAAGGAGTACTTGAATATGCACACCACCAGCAGCGTGGACATGGTCAACGCCTCAAAGAATATCCACGTGAAGAAGGTCGACGACTTGCTCGCCTAGAGAGCACAACTAGAGGCCTCCTGGATGGGGTCGGAACGGATGGGGTCGCGCCGCATCGGCGATACATCGGCGATGCATAGGCGATGCACTGCTGATGCATCGGCGACGTCGGCGATGCATCGGCGACGTCCGCGTGAAGAACTTCGGGCTACACATCGAGGCGAATCGTCAATGCATCGGCGATGCAGCGCGATCCTCCGACCCCGTCCACTCGGACCCCACTCTAGGAGGCCCAGAAGGGAGGGCAAGGATGCGGCCCTGGCCCGCCCGGCCCTTGGCGGCAGCAGTGGCGAGCAGCGGCAGCACGGGCACGGGCGGCCGCGCGCCGCCGTGCCGCTGCCGTCGAGCTCTCTCTGCCCTGGAGGCCGGCAGGGACGACGACGACGACGGTGACGACCACGACGACGACGACGACAATTCTATCAAGACCTAGATGAAAGGAACGGCGCTGCTCGTTAGGAGGCAACTCCTGGGAGTCTGCATATGGCCAATCAAAGGTAATTCAACCCGACAAAGACAATATTTAGCTGTCCTAGCACGGATTGAATCCAAGACCAAATCGGAGGGAGCCCGATGGAACAGGATCAAATGGAATTTGCCAGGAAAGAAACAGATCAGGCCGGCATTTTGGCCACAGATATACTATACACTAGCGCCGATGCTGAATTTCACCGGCCCATTGGGGCGTAGGCGGTTTGGATCCTGTCATCTTCCAACCGTCTTCTTCCCCTCCGGGGAGGGGTTTGCCGTTCCCCCGACTCCCTTCCCCCATTGGTCGATACCCTCCCAGGCGACCCCCAAGACGGACCGACAAGCCCTCGAGAGGGCCGCAAGAGGCCCCCAAGCGGACCCTTGGAGCTGGCGCCCCTAAGATTCTCCAAGGGGCCCCGCAAGAGCTGGCACGAGGCCCCCAGCACGCCCCAGGACGCCTCGAAGAGGCCCTCGAGACAATCCAAGAGGCCCAAAGGAAGCATCCGAGGGGGTCTGGCCCGCCCAAGCCCCCGACGTCTCCAGACGATGCCGCGCCCCGCCCCCCGCTCGGGGCAGCTCCGCGAGGCTCTGTGTCTGAACTAGTTGGTGGGCATACCCTTTGATCCGACGTTGCAGACACGACCAGAGCTCGACAAGCCACATGTGGGAGACGGTCGCCGAAACCTCACCGTTACTCCTCGTCCTCCTCGTCCTCCTCCTCGAACTTATGCTAACTCCTCTGCTCCCGGAATGGCCACGCTGTAGAAGTGGTTCACGGCCACGAGGTCACAGGCGAGTAGCAGCCCCACGAGCGTCACGAGCTTCACGTTGACGATCAGCCGGGGCACGCCGACCTCAAACATGTGCGACACCCGCGTGTGGGTGATCAGGTGGAGCACCTCCGAATGGGGGGGAGGAGGAGGAGGAGGAGGAGGAGGTGAAGGAGGAGGAGGAGGAGGAGAAGGAGGAGGAGGAGGAGGAGGAGGAGGAGGTGGAGGAAAAGAAGGAGGAGGAGGAGGAAAAGGAGGAGGAGGAGGAGGAAAAGGAGGAGGAAAGGGAGGAGGAGGACGAGGAGAAGCAGGAGGATAACGAAACGGAAAAGGAGAAGGAGGAAGAGGGAGGAGGAGGAAAAGGAAGAGCAGGAGGAGGAGGATCAGGAGGAGGAGGAGAAGGAGGATGATGAGGAGGAGGAGGAAAAAGGAGGAGGAGGAGGAGGAGGAGGAGGAGGAAAAGGAACAAAAAGGGAGGAGGAGGAGAAGGAGGAGGAGAAGGATGGAGGAGGGAGGAGGAGGAGGAGGAGGAGGAGGGGGAGGAGGGATAGGAGGAGGAGGAGGATTTTTTTGAGCACTGTGGCTCTCGCTGCATGCTTAAAGCACACTGAAAGTGTCAGAAAGTAAGGTGACCCCTTTCGCTTTGGGATGGAGTCCCTTACAGATCTTGTTCCAGGCGTCAGAGTTGTAAACCGAAGCCTTCTGACCTGGACAAATCTTACTGAGTGATGCAAGGCGGGCTCCACTAGTGTATCTCTGGCACAGCGTACAAACGACAACAAACGAACCGTTCGAACAATCCAGTAGGATACACTTGTGGCTTAAATCTCTAAGCCGCCGAACATCCACTGTCATAGAATCAGAACAGTGTCCAGGGGCAGGCTCCTTGTCGGCGGCGTTGCGCGACGTCCTGAGGCACCCTTGACACATCCAAAAAACGTTGGTCCCCTCCAGGAGGCCCGAGCCACTCCCACCGATGAGGCGAGGTTGAGGAGCGGGGGGCCTGAGCGGGGGCAGACCACGAAGCACGGGAGAGGTCCGTGCGCGGCCAAAGCGGCAGAAGAGCAGCACACAGTCTGACCGCCATGAGCGCCGAAGTCACAAGAGTAGTGCATGCGTTAGCTATATCCTCCGACGGCGCCTGGTGGGACTCAGCTCCCAGCTTGGCGGCCTTATCGGCGAAATCATTTCCTATCCTTCGAAAGCGCTCGTCATCGTCGATCTCTGGATCGTCGATGGGAAGATGCGCAGGCACTTTCTCGCACCCAAGCGTCCTTTTTCCTCCAAGAGAACGACCCTGAGCGACGAGCCCCGCATAAGGACGCTTGGGTGAGATCTGTTGGTGTCGGGCCATGCCGTGCATGGAGACAACATTCTGGCAATCTGAATACAGAATAGCAAGTGCAGACAAGAAAGCGCACGCCATGGCATAAGCCGAAAATTCACCTGCCTGGGGAGTCTGGGGGCAACTGTCCCACACGGGGCCCCAGCTCCAAGCTAGAAGATTTGCACGGGGGCCCATCATCGCTAAACCCCGACCAGCTCTGTTCGAGCTGCGGACCACCCGTCGAGAACACGAGCCATCAAGGAAAACGTGGCCCCACATCTGGCGTCGGCCGTCGCGGGGCATCGCCATGCCTTCGGCCGCGAAGCCTTCAGGAAAAAAACTGAAACTGGATGCCATCATCCTCCTCGGATCGACTGTCGGACTTAGGGGCGGGAGCACACTCTGGGGGTGTCCAAACAAGCCAGAGGTGAGGTGGAACCGTTCTCTCTCCGAAACCGCTTCGAACTGACTCAAAACCTGCTCCAGAGTACTGCGAGGAATCAGCTCTCTCCGCTCCTCCTCCACCGCCGAACACGCATAACGCCGATGAAAAATCGCGTCACCAGGCTGATGGCAGAGTGGGCAACGATCGCCCACTTCGCAACCTGCAGCTCGTGCACGGGCGTAGGGCCAGATTCCTTGACAGGCGCAACAACGGATAGTTCCTTTCTGGCGAGCAGTAAACTTTTTGGACCGAAGGGCTTTGATGACGACATCAAAACATAACGACTCGGCCCCTTCGGGGCCGTACTTGGCAGCCGCTTCTCTCTCCAACGACCGCCAAACCCCCTCCTTGAGGAAAACCTGGAGGAGAGAAGGAGGCGTAAGCGTGAGCGAATGCTCAACTCCCAAATCGCTGACCATGACAAAAGGCGAGGGCATGCTCCATCCCGAGCGGGCCAGGGAAAACTTCATGGCCCCAATGGGCCCGCCCACAGTCCTCCAGGTCCAGGAGCGCCCGAAAACATCGTGCCACATGTTTCTGAGCTCGGCCCAGGAAAAACAAACTTCGGAGGCACTCGTGGCACGGGCCCAAACTTCCCTGGCCCACCTGATGGCCGGCGCCACCGCACCCCACCACGCAGGATCGCCTTCAATCCTGCTGAGGATGGTTAAACTTCGGCCTCCGCAGGCAGGCTTCATAGTGGAGGCGCACATACGTCTGACTTTAGTTAACTCTCCGTCACTGACCCCGTGAACTTCCGCCCCATAATTGACTCCCGCGAGAGGTCCCGCAGTGCAGAGCTTGGTAGCCCTTGGTCCTAGAACTCCTCTTTGGCGCGCCAGCCTGCCTGCTCGCCTAGAGGCTCTCGCAAAGCGCGTCTTCGCCCTGCTGTTGCGCCCTCGGACTCGCCTGGCGCAGCCTGCAGTGTCATCAATCCCTAAATTGACGAACGACTCAGTACAGACTCCTCCGAGCCCCCCAAGCCGTTTCTGGACATGTCTGGCGATTTCCTTGGAGGACGCAACCAGCCCGACCTTGTCGGGGGAGACTTGCGCGAAAAGAACCTTGTCGATGATCTCCTCAGGGGACTTAGCCGCTCGAGGGAGTTCTTTCATAATGTGCCTAGTGGTCCCAATCGCATTAATCCCTAGGTCATCAATGTAAGCGTCGAACGTGATCCCCTTAGGGGCCCCCAGTTGATCAAAACCCCGCAGGGCAAAGATCCTGATCATAGTGGTGGCAAAGCTGCATCCCGCTATGATTCCAACTCTCGCGTAAGTGGGAGGCGCAACCACTCCCGCCAGCACTAAGAAACGGGCTGAACGGCATCCCGCCATGCACACATCGGCGAGCGCATCAGGGAGACCGTGCTGCCTGCATCGAAGAGCCAGAAATTCCAGAGGGATGCGCTCGTAGTACTTGACGAAATCCCAGAGAAGAGTACAGGCCTCCTGCCCGCAGGCTCGGGAAGACTCCGAACGGGCACTTTGCCTCCAAACAACATCGCACGCGGACTTGAATTTTCCCGCCGCCCAGTGCTCTCTCTGGTGTTTCCCTTCCCACTCGACCGCATAATCACTCCTGCATTTCCCCCATAATCTGTACAGACTAGGAAAGACCCCGATGGGGCGGAAGCCTGAGGAGGGCTTCGGAAGCATGGCAATAATCACGGCCTCCAGCTGCGGGGGAAGGGTACCCGTGAGTTCCATCAAAGTGGAGAAACGCGAGAGGGCCCACAAAGCCCCGTCGGACAGCACCGAAAAGTGTCTCAGGTGAAACCCGTCTAGGCCCGTGGCAGACCTGCGGGCAAAAGTGCAAGAAACCTTCCGAATAATGTCAACCGAGATGGGTGGGAGGGGGGCATTCACTTTCCCTGGCCTTTTCTGAGGTACAGGGAGCCCTTCCCACAAGTAGCGAAAGCGAACAGCTTCGGCGGCCAGGAGCGCCTGCGGGTCGGACACCACGCAGCCTCCAGCACTAAGTGTAGTGGATGGTGTCCATCCATGAGGATCTCTGGTGTAGCCATGCGACCAACGCCCGCCTTGATCGACATTCTCGGTGAGCCAGTCCGCCCAATCCCGTCTGGCCTTGGCGGCGTAGAAGGCGCTACATTCAGACACAAAGTCGGTAACCTGGGTAGAGACCTCTTCGACTTGGGCAATCAAAACCTCCTGAGCCCCCAAAAAGCTAGGAACATCGCCCGACCCCTCCAGCGGGTCAACCAAAACCTTGAAGTCCAAAATCACCGAGGAAACACGACCGAAAACCTCTTCAATCCCAGGGAACAGGTTGTCGGGCTTACGCGAGCTAGGGGGGGGGGGGGGAGACGACAGAACGCACCCCACTTCCCTTGCCTGAGGCCAATCCCCCCTCTGCACACACATAGAAAGCCTGTTGAACTTCGAAGCGAGCCAGCGGCAGGCGTGGAGCTGGGGGTAACGGACGCACCCGTGGTCTTTACTGAGGATCGGCCTCCAATGGGTCTTGGGCCCCACACCCCTCGACCCCAAAACAGGAAGTTGAACCCCGAAAGTCCTTGATAGTTCCCGTTCGGCAAGGCCCAAGACGCGTATGCTTCACGAAATAGGCGAGCAGTCATAACCCCATCGTCTCCTCTCTTGGTTCGAATGAAAGTCGCGTCCAGCTGGGCATGCGCGCGCTTAAAGTCCATCGGCTCTGGCTGAGGTCCGAAGGGAACTTCCGATGGGAGAGGAGGCGGGCGTCTGAAAGCGAGGTGGTGCATCTGGGCCAGACCAGCATGAAACTCGAGACATACTGGACTGTGCGGAAAGAACCCTGCCTCTTCGATTCTGCGAACTTCGGCTGCGCCCTTTGACAGCCCAGAGGAAAGCACGAAGTAGTCGTAGACTTTGCCCGCACCAGCGTGGCAAGTAGGCTTGCTGGGGTCGATGACCTGACCAACCAGGGTGCTCACGAAAAAGGACTTGGCGAGTTCGGAGGGCTCCATGTTCCAGTTTCCCCCGACGAGGAATGGTTTCCCGCAGGTGGACCCTTCCGCCCCTATAGCCGACAGCATCTCCAGGTTAGGTTCCGAAAGCCCTTCAGAGTCGCGCATATAGACAGAACAAACTTGAATCACGTCCCCTTGGGGCGCATGCACCAGAGCCGTTATGGCCCCGTGGGGGGCCAGCTCGAGCCCCGAGGGCGCCCTATGAAGCCCCAGAGTGGCGCGACACAGAATCGAGACTCCCGCAGAGGGGCCCCCTTCGGGCCCAGTCGTGCCAGGGATCCAAAGAGATTTGAAACCGAGGCCGAGACAGACGGAAGAGGCTCTAACCAGAGCCTCCTGAGTCAAGAGCTTGTGCTCTTGGACTAGAATCACTTCAGCATCTACAC